CCCCAGCCAGCTTGCTGGTTGGGGAATTCTGGGAGTTGAAGTCCACACATCTTAAAATTGCCAGGGTTGAGAAACACTCAGTTAGGAGATGTTACAATTTACTATCTATCTTCAGAGCAATTTGTATTTTTAACATAATGATCATGAATACCTGTATTTTTAACATAACAATCAATGAACACCTAACTAGATGGAAAACCTGTGCAAGATGGCGTGGAACCACCTTAACCAAGAGTTTTGCACCCCAGAGATTATCATGGGCTGGGAGTATTGGAAGATACTTCTGCACAGGAGTAACACAAAACCCTCTTCCAACTATTAGGGCTGCCAGAGAAGATCTCAGGAGAGAGACAAAGTGAAGCATAGCAACAAACTGCTTCACTTTCACTTTGGAGGGAGAAGGCTGGGGGATTCTGGGAGTTGAAGTCCACCCATCTTAAAGCTGCCCAGTTTGAAAAACACGGATTTAAAATGTAAAAAGGTACTTCTATAAGGGAGAGAGGAGCAAAATGGAAGACTGCTTTGCAAGGATGTATTCCTGCCTTTTGCCTAGTGAAGTGGGGCTCATCCTTGATTGCCATGGCACAGATTAGAATCTGCAGTCTAGTAGCCAGGGGTTCCCAGGGCATCCACCACACCTCCAAAAGATGCTCATGCTCCCCCCCCCATTATAATAAATAATTTTTAAAACAGAAAGTGCTGAAACTTCACAGGATCCATAAATTTTGCAAGGCTTCAGCTTATTTATGTGGGATCTCATGCGAGATCTTAGGATAACTTTGTTGAAATCCTGCAAAATGGTGTGGGAGACCTTATGACGGAGCCCGAGGACTAAAAAAGGTTGCCTCCTTCTGTCATCACTGGAACTAACTTTAATGCCACCGAACTGGACAAAATCTCCAGCTCAGAACAAGCTGATGCTATTTCAAAAAGAGACTGATAGGAGAGTGAAGGCAAAATGGGTGAACATCAGTGGTTAAGATTTACAACAGCACCACCCCAAAGAAGCAATTCTGGGTCCCACTGATCTCATGACCTTCAACAACAGGAGGCTACAGAGGGGTGCATACTCCTGGATGGGGAGAGACCTGCACCCCTTTACAAAAGGAATCCCAAAGAGATACACATACAGTTTGTACACTGATCTTCAGCCACTACACCTCCCCTTGCTAGGAAGATGATTCCCACATGATCAAAAACTGGTTTTCCACATCCAGAGCTGAGAAGTTATCATCTCGCGCCATGTCCCTTTGAGTGGAAAAGAGGTGGTGTCGTCTAAAGAAAGAAAAATAAAGCACGCTTCTCCAGGTAGACATCCATTCGGTTTTATCTTTTTGATACAAGGAACAATTTCTGCCTACAGAAACATCTGCATTTGGTCTTTAACTGCTCATTTTCTGATCAGTTGTTCATTTTGATCAGGTTGTTCAGGGATCCCTCTCAGGGATCCCTCTCAGGGCCTGCATTATCAGTGGGGTCAGAGCCACAAACGAGTGGGACCCCCCACTGTTTGCTCTCTCTTTCTCTTCCCTTCTCTTAACCTGAAAGCCAGGGTTGGAAGAGAACATTCAGACTATACATCAGAAATGGAATGCTTCTGAAGTTGATTTGCAGGTGACAACACAACCCCCCATTTCAAAGATGAAGCAGTCTAGGAAATATTCACTAAAGGGTGGAGTATGTGTGACAGATTTCAGACCCTAGCAAACCTTTCTTTCCATTACCCACCTTTTATTTCACTTTCCATTGGTTTTATTCCTTTACTCCTTTTCGTTATGGCAAGATATTGCAACCTACAGATTAATGGATCGAAAGCCATTTCCTCAGACAAGAAGCGTCCCAGGTTTTTTGTTTTTTTGTTTTTTTTAGAAAAACCGACAAATGAAACAAAAATCTGAAAAAAGATCTTGTTTAGAAAAGGATTCTCCTCGTCTTCTTGGGAACAAGGATATACCCCCTTAATTTTGAGGATTTGCCAGCGTGAACCAGTGACAGTACATATGCTGGCCAGTAGGCGGAGTCCTGAGCTTCTTTGGACTCCTGGGTCTTTTTAAGCAGAAACTCTTAGATCACATGAACCGTTCTGGAGAAACAGCCTTTGCCAGCATCTCCCAAATGGGTGCACAATTCCTGTTTTAGCAACCGAACAAAAGGCATTAACGGATGAGAAGGACAAGGTGGAGTCACTGTAGTTGTCCCTGAGCGGAGCACAGGCAACACCAGATCTCCAGCAGAACGGGCAATCGGCCTTAGAAAAGCTTTGCCCTGCACAATTTATCTTGCTTGTTGGCATTGCTGTTGTTCTTTTTTTCTGCAAACGTCCCCAAAGGCTGGTTCGCTGTAGGTAGACAAGGAAGCAATTATCCGGAGCTAAAAAGAACAACAAAAGAGCAGGGGCATAAGATTGGGTCTCCACGTTGCAGCCTAACATGCTTCGAAGACAACGGAAGATGTACAGATGGAGCTCAAAAGGAACAAACAACCAAGTCAGACCAGGAACTGTTTAGTCTAATATTCATATGTTCTAAAATAAGGGCAGGGAGAAATAGGGGGATCTAAGTGAGAATCCTATTTGAAACGTTTACCTGTACGCCAGTTAATTTCTCATTTATGCCACCAGAGCAGCCTTTCTGTGATGGAATGGTGTTATGAAGGCCAGGCTCAGGGAGATAAGCATTCCCTAAGCCCCCAGCAGGAGCGTGGGAAGTTTAAGAAGTTGAGACTGGCACCACCCTAAGGAATTCATGGCGTTGTGGCTGGCTGGCTTGGGAACTTAGGTGCAGTCTGGGGAGATTTCTGTCTTGGGGTGGAAGCTAATAAATGCAACAGAACTGTATTGCACTGTCTCGTGGAGTTCTTTGGGCTGAACCTGACACTTTCTCAACTTTGCAACTTTTAAATGTGTGGGCATTACAACCCCAAATATCTCCCACCCCACATGAGGGTGGGTGGGGGTTGGGGGATGTGG